GGCCGCGATCACTGGTGCTCGCCTCATCATCACTGTGACCGCTGCTGTTAAATATTCCTCACTTCTTCTGTTTATATGCTCAATAATGAGTCAAATGAATAATGAGAAAGAACCAAATTGTCTATCACAGCTATGCTGATGATACCCAGATTTACCTAGCCTTATCTCCAAATGACTACAGCCCCATTGACTCCCTCTGCCAATGCATTGATGAAATTAACAGTTGGATGTGCCAACATTTTCTTCAGTTAAACAAGGAGAAAACTGAAGTCATTGCATTTGGAAACAAAGATGAAGTTCTCAAGGTGAATGCATACCTTGACTCTAGGGGTCTAACAACTAAAAATCAAGTCAGGAATCTTGGTGTGATTCTGGAGACAGACCTTAGTTTCACTAGTCATGTCAAAGCAGTAACTAAATCAGCATAAAATCATCTCAAAACATTGCAAGAATTAGATGTTTTGTTTCCAGTCAAGACTTGGAGAAACATGTTCATGCCTTTATTACCAGCAGGGTGGACTATTGTAATGGTCTCCTCACCGGCCTTCCCAAGAAGACCACTAGACAGCTGCAGCTCATCCAGAACGCTGCTGCCAGGATTCTGACTAGAACCAGAAAATCTGAGCATATCAGACCAGTCCTTAGGTCCTTACACTGACTACCAGTTATATTTAGGATTGATTTTAAAGTACTTTTACTCGTTTATGAATCACTCAATGGCCTAGGACCTAAATACATTGCAGATATGCTCACTGAATATAAACCTAACAGACCACTCAGGCTGCAACAGGGTGCAGTGCGGGACAACTCTTGATGGGCGAGTGCGGGTGTGGGCGGGAAGAGGTTCGTGTGTGTGCGGGAGAATAAAATGATTTGCGGGACTCCCGCAAAATAGAAATTATCTAAACATAAAATGTCTAAAACATATAAATTGTTATTTATGTGTTGCACAAAAGCAAAAAGAACAACTAATAACATTGAAATGATCAACACGTGCAAGCTAGGCAGAGTTTCTATTTATAACACGTGATTAAAGGGCTGTGCAATGTAGCCAATCACAGACTCAGTTATTGATTTCTGGAACGCAATGGCCAATCAGAGGTGATTAAGTTAGAATCTACTCACCGCAGTGCTGAAATTGCGTGCTCACGAATCCTCTCATTTTAACACACGAAGTGTAGACATTGTGAAAGATTAATTGTGCATATGTTCATTGTGTTATAACAGAGCTTTATGAGATTGCGAAGAACTGAGATGTCAGCTTTTAGTGATAATAAAGGAAGCGCGCTGCTCGCATTCTGCCATGCCAAACCATACACGCAGCAGCCCATGCTTGCTTTTCTATTAAAAATAACACTGGTTTGTGAATGTTGATGCTTAGCCTAAATAACAAATATTTTATCGGGAGCATTTATACTGGGATGTTATGGATCTTAGGAGATGTTACAGAACCATTTGATATACATTTCTTTGATGTGCTGAAAAAAATCTATATAGATTACTTTATGCGGGCTTTTGTGGGCGGGAGCGGGACAAAACATGAATGTCGCGGGCGGGCGCGGGACAGAATCTTGCGGGAGCGGGACTGAAAAATCCGTCCGGCGCAGGTCTCTACCCTATGGGTTCAAAGCAGTTATGAATGTTCTTGGACACAGATTCAAGCAAAAAACAAATAGCATAATTGGGTCTGTGCGAGTTCTGGGTGCGAAACCTGAAGTTGTTCCTGCAGGACAAACTCTTGTTCTTGAAGGTTCAATTAGTCCACAAGAGCCGTCCTCTGATAAATGGGTTCTTATGGAGCCTCCTTCTGAATCTTCATTGCCTGGAGGTCTTTTGTGTACCTCTTGTCTTGTCACAGAAAAGCCCAGTGATTCTGAAAAATGAAACAGAGCATGACATTTTAGTCCCTGCAAAGAGTGTCATCGCAGAATTACATTCGCTGCAGAGTGTGATTACTAAAGAGGCTGTGACAGGGTCCAGCAGTCAGGTTGAAGTTACCAAGCCTTATACTTTTGATTTTGGTGGCTCACCAATACCTGGTGAATGGAAGGACCGAATTTCACAAAAATTGTGTTCAATCTCAGAAGTCTTTGCCCTTCATGATCTTGATTTCGGTAGGACAGATAAGGTGACACATCGTATAAGGCTGCATGATGAAACCCCGTTTAAACAGAGAGCTCGGCCTATAGACCCGCAAGATTATGATGCCGTTCGAAAGCATCTGCAGGAATTATTGGATGCTGGTGCCATTCGGGAGTCTGAGTCCTCTTTTTCTTCACCCATAGTAGTCGTTCGGAAGAAAAACGGGGATATTCGACTCTGTGTTGACTACCGCAAACTTAACCTGCAAACAATCAAAGATGCTTACGCATTGCCTAATTTGGAGGAGACTTTTTCTGCCCTCACTGTTTCTCGCTGGTTTTCCGTTTTAGATCTCAAGTCTGGTTACTACCAGATTGAGGTCGAGGAGTCAAATAAACACAAGACCGCTTTTGTCTGCCCGTTAGGTTTCTGGGAGTTCAATCGAATGCTGCAGGGGGTCACGAATGCTCCCAGTACCTTTCAAAGAATTATGGAGAGGTGCATGAGTGACATCCATTTGAAAGAGGTCGTTGTTTTTCTTGACGATTTGATAGTGTTTTCTGACACTTTAAAGGAGCACGAGCGCAGATTGTTGAGAGTGTTGCATCGGTTGTGGGAGTATGGCTTGAAGCTTTCTCTGGAAAAATGTACATTTTTACATTTTTACAAAAACCTCTGTGAAGTATCTTGGACACATCGTGTCTAGCAGTGGTGTGGAGACAGACCCTGAAAAAGTTGCGGTACTGAAAACTTGGCTGGTCCCAGAAAACCTAAAAGAGTTGCGATCATTTTTAGGGTTCTCAGGGTACTACCGGAGACTTATCCGGGATTATGCCGTCATTGTGAAACCTTTAAATGATTTAACATCTGGGTATCCGCCACATCGCAAGGGCTGTAAAGCCAAGGAAATGAAAGACTACCACAATCCCAAGGAAACTTTTGGGAGCCGTTGGTCTGCAAGTTGTCAGCAAGCATTTGAAGCGATCATTGAAGTGCTTACTACTGCTCCAGTGCTTGGCTTTGCAAACCCTAAACTTCCATATGTTTTGCACACTGATGCAAGCACTGTGGGTTTGGGAGCGGCTTTGTACCAGGAGCAGGAGGGGCAATTGAAAGTAATCGCTTATGCTAGTCGTGGACTTCTGGCCCTTAAATGGGCAGTCACAGAAAGATTTTATGATTATCTGTACGGTAACCAGTTCACTGTGGTTACCGACAGTAATCCGTTGACATACGTACTGACCTCAGCTAAGCTGGATTCTATGAGCTATAGATGGCTCTCAGCTCTTTCAACGTTTTCCTTTAAGCTGCAGTATAGGGCAGGCAAACAGAATCTGGATGCTGATTGTTTGTCCAGGCGTTCTCATTCTGGTTTGAGGAATGACGTCACCTCTCAAAAAGAACAAGAACGAATCCGTCAGTTCACATTGAATCACTTGTTTCAGGATGACGTTCAAACTGATTCTGCTGAGGTCATTCAGGCCATATGTGACAAGCATGCGGTTCATCAGGGTTCAGCTGTTGATGGTGGTCCTCCTTTTGCTCTGGTTGAATCACTTGCCATGAATGTTGACGCAATCCCATGCAGTTTTGATCAGAGTGAGAGTTTTGATGGTCTGCCTGTAATCCCAGTCTTTGGTGAGGATGATCTGAAAGAAAAACAAAGAGCTGATCTGGTCATACTTGAGGTTGTTAGGCAATTAGAAACAGTGGAGACAGTTCCTTCCTCTTTGAGAAGAGAACTTCCTACACTTTCTTTGCTATTGAGGGAATTGAAAAAGTTGGAGTTGCGGAACGGAATCCTCTATCGGAAAAGACAGGAGGGAGACCACATCCAGTATCAATTGGTTCTTCCTGAATCTTTGCGTAGTATGGTTCTGACATGTCTACATGATGAAATGGGACATTTGGGCATGGATCGCACACCTGAGCATGCCCTAGATGTGTGTGTCATAAATCCTTACCTGAGCATGCTATGCCTTTAGTTAATATCCAAGTGACTTGGCCCCTTGAGCTGGTGTGTATGGACTTTTTGTCCAGTGAACCAGATTCCAGAAACAACAAAGATGTGTTAGTTATCACCGACTTCTTTACCAAATATGCGGTTGCTGTTCCTACTTCTAACCAGAAGTCGCGTACTGTTGCTAAAGCTCTTTGGGAGAATTTCATAGCCCATTACGGGATCCCCGAAAAATTGCACAGCGATCAGGGGGCTGACTTTGAGTCAAAGACTATTAAAGAGCTTTGTGAATTGATGGGAATTCATAAGATTAGGACAACCCCTTACCACCCCAGGGGGAATCCAGTCGAACGATTCAATCAAACTCTTTTAAATAAGCTTGGTACTTTGAAAGAGTGTAATAAAGTACTTTGGAGTAGTTTTGTGAAACCTCTTGTTCACGTGTATAACTGCACCAAACATGATTCTACTGGGTTTTGCCCATATTAATTAATGTTTGGAAGGCAGCCACGGTTACCTATAGGTCTGGTTTTTGAGGTTCCACTGAATAGAGAGGAGTTCAAAACTCATTCGCAGTATGTGCGTAATCTGAAGTCTAGGTTGCAGAGAACTCATGACTTGGCAATGAAAAGTGCTGCTAAAGTTGGAGAAAGGAACAAAGCTTGTTTTGATAAGCATGTTCTTGAATCCACGCTTGATATTGGAGATAGGGTCCTGGTCAAAAACGTACGCCTGAGAGGTAAACACAAATTGGCAGACAAGTGGAAATCACTTTTATATGTTGTTGTGAAAAGAGCGGGAGATCTTCCGGTGTACACTGTTAGGCCAGAAGATAAAGAAGGTACTTTAAGAACGCTTCACAGAGATCTTTTATTGCCTTGTGATTTGCTGCAGTTACCTGAGGAGGTAGTTGATTTGATTAGTTGACCCAGAAACGTTCTCCAACCCGTAGAAATCCGAGTAATGACATACAAGAGCAGCCAGATTTTGACTCCGAGGATGATAGCTGTTTAGCATTGACGTACCGAGATCTTCCAGTTCAGACAAACACCAGATTCACTGAGGTCTATGAAACTAGAACAAGGTCACAGAATGATGTTCCCATGATTCCAGTAGTTCAGGACACTGTTGATCGCATTTCAACTGATGACTTACCTGTCTCAGCAGACAGTCCTGTTGAATGTTTGCCTGAGTCAGAGGATTCTAAAATAGACAGTACACCTACCTTGAATCTCGTACCTGTTGATGATCCAGATGTTGTAGAGCCTGAGGCTAATGAAAACTTACCTGTGGACACTTCTGACACACGGGTTGATCAGAAGATACCTGCAGAGGAAACAGAAATAGTCTGTGAGCATGAAACTGCAAAGGAGAAAAAGGAAAATGATGGAAATGTCATCAGGAAGTCTAATAGAGTTAGGCAGATACCACGGATTTTCACTTACCCTGAATTGGGTAATCCTTTGGTCTCAATAGTACAGTCTCTTTTCCAGAGCCTTAGTACAGCCGTGAAAGCAGTTTTAACAACTCACCTGAACCTGTAGTCACACAACCTGTTAGTTGCATGCACAGGGACGTGCATAGAGTTAACGGGGGAGAGTGTAACCCCTAGGAAAAAAAAAAAAGATAATAAATAAATAGTAAACTATATTGGGGTTACTAAAAACACAAAAGTTGATTAAAATGAAGTTATATGCTAAACTTTCCCTCAGCATTCGTGTTGCTGCTAGTAGTGAGTACCCGACAGCAAACGTCATTATGATTAATGACTTTGAACTTTTGACCTCATAAGCATATCCATATGTGACCTCTGACATCATAATAATTTCCATATGCGAAAATCGGCGCGCATGAAATTAAGCCGTCAACCTTTGAGCTCCGGGGGATGAAATATGTTGTTTTTGTACGTGACCAAGGATGACAGGAGATAAAATCTTCAAAAACAATACTTACAGATCATTTATGGAGCGTTCCCACATCCGGGGGGTTTACGCATCTGGGGTCCGTGTGTCCGGTTGCATTCTGAGGTGCGCTTAGATAAATAGACCCGGGCGCTTCTGTGGAAAATCAGAAAAGCGCTGTGAAACACATAGACATGGCCGGTTTATACTCACCTAAAACTTCTGAGAAGGAATGGGATGAACAATAAACAGAATAAATAAACAATTTTAACAGATTCTCTCTCTCTCTCTCTCTCACACACACACACGTGCACGCATGCACGCACACTGTAATGTATAATGAAATTGAAAATAAAACAATAAATAAATAAATAAAATTCCTCTTACATTTTTCCGTGAGACAAAGTCTTCCTCCTAGCACAGGTATGGCGATTCTTCAAATGAAAGGTTTCCCAAAACCACTAAAAACCCCTCTCTGTCTCTCTCTCTCTCTCTCTCTCTCTCTCACGCACGTGTGCACATTCAGTCGTCCCGAGTCTTATTCTCTTCTTTTAAATGAAAATAAATAAATTATGTAAACACACATGATATAAAACAAAGCAAAACATTTACACTAGTTTTAGTCATCACTAAAAATATAAAAACGTTGTACATTTTACCAGGACTGGGAAAAAATATATATTTTAACAGGCCAAACGATAAGGAAGGTCGGGATCCCCTGATGTCACGGTCAAGGTGTGTGGAGGCAGGCAGGATGACGAGGACGACCAGGATTCAAATAAGGATGTTTAATGTAGAGACAACATACCATCACAGTAAACATTCTAAATTTTTATATTTTCATAAACGTCATGTTGGATAATTTATAATTTTAAAAAGCCATATAATTTTTTTTACTGTACACCTACCATCACACAAAAAAAATTCTGCATGTGCTTACATTTTTAATTAAATATTGTTTTTAAGTGATCTGAATTATGACGACTCAAGAAATTTCATCATAAACCACATTTACTTTGTTATATCAATGTAATAGTCATAACGTTACACAAATTTGTGTTCTGATAAATCATATATCATAAACAAGCACACACATACATAAAAATTACAAACTAAAGAGAGACTTATCTCTATTTTAAAGAATATGGAAATAAATAATTATATATGACGGCATGTTTTACTACCATGTTACTAAAGCAAATCATTCATCATGCAATTTAAAAAAGTATTCAACATTTAAGTCTATTGAACTTATAAAACACATCATTCATTCTCTTAATGTAAATAAATAAAATGTGATTATATATAACATACTTTATAAAAATGAACATTTACAATAGTTTCAGTTGACAATAAAAATGCTTTACATTATTCTGGGGGCAACGATGACTAACCAGAGGTTTAAGTAGGAAAAGCTCATCTGTCCTCACCTTCTCTCTCTCTCTCTCACAGACACACACACACACACACGCACACACATCCACGCACATTGTTTTTTATGTTTTCTGGGGACGCTCCATAGTCGTAATTAATTTGTACTGTACAAACACTTACCCATCTCACAAATCTCTGCATATGCTTACATTTTTAATTAAATATTGTAAGAATTTTAATTATGAGGACTCAAGAAATATCCTCATAAACACATTTACGTTGTTATATCAGTGTAACACTCATGTCATTATAAAAATTTGAGTCCTGATAAGTCATATACACAAGAACATACATACATAAACATTTCGAGCTAAAGAGAGACTTATCTCTATTTTAAATAATATGGTAATAAAATATATGACATCATAGTAACATGGTACTGAACCAAAATTATACATTTAAACATGTTTTCAACATTTATTTAAGCTTATTGAACTTATTAAACACACTATTCTCTTCATTTAAAGAAGATAGTAGCAAATAAAACTGTAATTATATATAACACGCTGTATAAAATAAACATTTAATATAATTTTAGGTCACAATAAATATGAGCAATTATGCCTTACATTTTTAGAGTGCTAAGAGATAGAACTTTACGCAACGACGTCCAAACATGGATGAGTGATTTACAAAATAAATAAATAAAAAGTTTAA